GAGGACAGATCTGCACGTTCCCCCCACCCCCCAATAGCTAGCAGTGCAAAACAGTTCAGTGGCATCTTTAAGACCAAGTTTTATTCAGGTACAAGCTCTCCCTCCTCTGCGAGGACAGATCTGCACGTTCCCCCCACCCCCCAATAGCTAGCAGTGCAAAACAGTTCAGTGGCATCTTTAAGACCAAGTTTTATTCAGGTACAAGCTCTCCCTCCTCTGCGAGGACAGATCTGCACGTTCCCCCCCCCTCAATAGCTAGCAGTGCAAAACAGTCCAGTGGCACCTTTAAGACCAAGTTTTATTCAGGCACAAGCTCTCCCTCCTCTGCGAGGACAGATCTGCACGTTCCCCCCACCCCCCAATAGCTAGCAATCCAAAACAGTTCAGTGGCATCTTTAAGGCCAAGTTTTATTCAGGTACAAGGTCTCCCTCCTCTGCGAGGACAGATCTGCACGTTCCCCCCACCCCCCAATAGCTAGCAATCCAAAACAGTTCAGTGGCATCTTTAAGACCAAGTTTTATTCAGGTACAAGCTCTACCTCCTCTGCGAGGACAGATCTGCACGTTCCCCCCCCCTCAATAGCTAGCAGTGCAAAACAGTCCAGTGGCACCTTGAAGACCAAGTTTTATTCAGGCACAAGCTCTCCCTCCTCTGCGAGGACAGATCTGCACGTCCCCCCGCCCCAATAGCTAGCAATCCAAAACAGTCCAGTGGAGCCTGAGCGGTGGGTGTTGCCTTCTGACACACTTCCGGTGATGTCAGGGGGCATGGCATATGCAAATGAGTCATGGTAATGGGTTATGCTAATGAGCTCCTGCACCTGCCAACAGGGCAAAGAGGTGTCTTCCCCGGTGCCACTATACAAATCGAGAATAGCATCCGGGGGATGGGGGGAGCGTGAGCACCTCTCGCCTTGCCCCACGGGTCCTGATCCAAACCGACCTACCGGACATTTGATCGCTGAATCTTTGAAATACACTGGAAGCGCTGGACCTCGAACTCACAGCACTTTCGACTGATTTGGTGCTGAGTGGAAATCTTGAACCGAAGTCCCCTCGGGTCCTATTCTGATAACCACTACACAACCCTGACAGACTTATTGCCCATGAAAACAAGGAACATCCATTTCCACTTTTGTTGTGTACACCTAAACAGGAAGAAGACTTCTTCTGGCTCTCTCCCTCTCTCTCAAAAAAACACTTGAACGTCACTATTTTATCAAAACGCACCACCCTTCTGGTGTTCCCGATGTGTCCACATCTACTGAAAAGTGCCCGGAAGATCTCCAGATGTGCTAGGGACAGGGGGGGAATACAACTTCAAGTCTTTGGGGAGACTGTGACATGCAGCAAATTCACGCACAGCCGTCGCCCTGGCAGCGAGCCCTGAGGGGTTTACCAACCACAGCGTGAAGAGACTTCACAACAGCCACAACAGGCAACCCCTGCAGAAAAGATCGCCTGGGGCTCACTTCAAGCACTGCCGGTGATTTCCCAGGACACAACCCCAATTTCTATTTTTTAATTCCCTAAACGGGAGGAGGAATATCAGGTACGGCTGAGCGCGGCAAGCGCAACCAGGGTTTCTCCCTGGAGGATGACTCAAAAAGTCGGCTGCTGACAATAACAAAAAAAAAGTCGGCCTTGCGTGTCCGGGAGCACAGCGAGAACTCGGCACTCCGGCCCGCGGCTGAGGGGAGGCACGACGGAGAAATAAGAAGGCGCCAGGGAGCCAGGAAAATCAGCCTGCGCTTCCTGAACGTGACAGAGGGTCGGCCCGAAGGATTTCCTTCGACTTGGCCAGAGGTGGCCCGCGAAAAATGCTGAACGAGGCTCTCCTGCGTCCCCCGCCCCTCCACTGAGAACATCTTGGGGGTTTTTTTCCCCCAAGCCAAGGAAAATATTCCCAGCCGAGGAAGCTAAATTTGAGAAAACAAACAGGGAGCTCAGGGGATTCCGCTAAGTTGGTCGGCAGCCATTTCTCCTCTCAGCTACTCACTGCATCTCTCAGAGCCGTCTCCACCGGGGAAGAGGAGGGCATTCCCTGGAACACGCCTGAGGAAGATGCGGGCCATTAAAAACAAACAACGAAAGCGCTCTGCTTTTTCCCCCAGCACGGGCCCATTTGCACTTGCACTCTAATAGGAACTGTTCTTTTTTTTGGTCTTCTTTTCTTTGTAAGTCTGGTGGTGTTGTTTTTTTTTTTTAAAAAAAACCCAGACTTTAAAATGATCTCTAGTGGTCACGTCCATTTGCACTTGCACTCTAATAGGAACCGTTCTTTTTTTTTCTTCTTTTCTTTGTAAGTCTGGTGTTGTTGGTTTTTTTTTTTTAAAAAAACAGACTTTAAAATGATCTCTAGTGGTCACACACTGAAAAATAGTGATTTCTCAAAGGACGGAGACTGGAATGTAAAGTGAATATGAACCCATGAAGTCACCGAAAACTAACTCCGTTGTGTAGTTCGTGGACGACGAGGAGGAGGAGATTGGATTTATACCACCCCTTCACTTGGAGTCTCAGAGCAGCTTACAGTCTCCTTTCCCTTCCCCTCCCCACAACAGACACCCTGGGAGGTAGGTGGGGCTGAGAG